GGGCCCTGCTCTGTGTGTGACAGGGTACGGAGCCCCAACCCCCCTGATGGGCCCTGCTCTGTGAGTGACAGGGGGCAGCGCCCCAACCCCCTGATCGGCCCTGCTCTGTGCGTGACAGGGGGTGGCGCCGCAACCTCCCCATCGACCCTGCCTTGAGTGTGATATGGGGCGGTGCCCCAACCCCCCAATTGGCCCTGCTCTGAGCCTGACCAGGGGCTGCACTTAGGGATTGGGCCTGCCCTCTGCCACCCGGGATCAGGCCTAAGCCAGCAGGTCGTTATCTCCCGAGGAGTCCCAGATTGCGAGAGGGCACAGGCCGGGCTGGGGGACCCCCCTCCTCCTGCCCCCCAAGTGCACAAATTTTTGTGCACCAGGCCTCTAGTCTTTACTATAATTACTCTGAACTCTGTAAGAGATAAATTTCTTGTCTCCATTTATTTATCTCTTCTTCTGGAGAATTCTCTTGTTCTTTCATCTGGGAGTTGTTTGTCTCCTCATTTTGGCTGCCTATTTGGGTTTGTGACTATCTAAGCTTCAGTGCAGGACAGTGTCAAAGACTGTTTCTGACAGATCAGACTCAAATCTTCCAGAGATTGCCTCCACCTATGGTTTGAGAGGTTCAGTCTTGATTAGCCCTCAGGCAATTATCTACAGGTGTGGCAAGAGTTTTTTTTTTTTTTTTCCAACAGTGTGGGGTAATAGCTTTCACCTGAGGCTAATTGTCTCTTAATGGGCCTCAGAAACTTCACACCATGGGGCATGGTGTTTTCCAATAGGATAGGTCAACTGTCTTCTCCCCAAGCAAGGCTGCCTGTTTAGCAATTGTCTACCTGAGAAAGATGACCTCTCCAGCTTAGGGAATGACTTAGCACAGGAACCGGGTTTCTGCCTTCTGAGTTCAACTCCAGAGCCTCTAACCTTGGCTTCTACTCACACAGCTGTAATCCAGCCTGCCCTCCCTCTGCTGGAGCACAAGGTAAGTGGCTGCCCAGGGAATTTTGTGCATTTGCCATTTAAGAGGTTGCCTGCATTTTCAGCGGTCTTCCCTGGCAGACAGCAACCCCACTGCTTTTCACAGCTAGATGTTATATGGCACCCTTCTCAGTTCTGGTGCTCTCTGCTGGGGGGCCCGGCTTGGGGATTAGACCCAGAGTTTTCAGTGGGAAACCACCCATAGCAGAGATATCTCTCCAAAACTTTAGTAGCTGTCTGTGGGAACCTGAGTAGCCCTTTTGTGCCTCTTCCCCTCCTACCAGCCTCTACGCAGTCTCCATTCCAGGGATCTCTCCAGCAAGTCTTCAGTTAATTATTCATGAAGGTTTCCTGCATTTTAGTTGAAATTCCAGTTTGGTCCTGGGAGTGTGTCTCTGAAGCACCCACTTAACTCCACAGCAGTTTTTAACCTGTGGATGCACTTTGGATTGTCTAAGAGAAAGAGGCGGCTCAGAACTATTCTCCTTTCTCATTTGATATGTGTGGACCTTCAGACAATGAATGAGTGAAGTCAGTTTCTGAGACTTGCTATAAGAAACTATAACACTTCAGATAGAGTGAGTGGGAAATGGGTTCTGCCAGTGAATTATCCATCTCACCTATGATAGCAACTGTAGGTGAGGAAAACACAGACTAACTGTGCAGTGTATCATTTCAGGTTAAACTCTGAAAAGAAACCCATTTCACTGATCACCGTTTCAATGGTTTCCTACTGGGGTGACAAAAATGTCTTGGAACTTAGATAGTGATTATGGTTGCATGACCTTGTGGATGAACTAAATATTGCTGAATTGTTCAAATAGTAAATTTTTCAACATGTGGATCTTACCTTAATTTAATATTAAATAACTAGAGGCCCGGTGCATGAAATTCGTGCACTGGTGGGGGGCATGGCCTGCGGGGATCGGGCTGCTTGGGAGCATGCTCATCCCAGTCAGCCAAGCAGCCTTCCCACTGTGGGAGCACACTGACCACCAGGGGGCAGCTCCTGTGTTGAGCATCTGCGCCCTGGTGATCAGTGTGCATCATAGCAACTGGTCAACCAGTTGTTCTGCCATTCAGTCACTGGGCTTTTATTATATAGGATAGCCTGGCAGGTATGGCTCACTGGTTGAGGGTCAGCCAATGAACCATAAAGTCCAGGTTCATTCCTGGTCAGGGCACATGTCCAGATTATGGACTTGACCCCCAGTGTGGGGCATGCAGGAAGCAGTCAATCAATGATTCTCTCTTAGCACCAATGTTTCCATCTCTCTCTCCTTCTCCCTTCCTCTCTGAAATTAATAAAATAATAATATGTAGAAAGCAAAACTTGTTTGTATCATCAAAAATATTTTAAAGATATAAAAATAAACAATAAAATCTTCAACAACCCATGTCCAAAAAAAGAAAAAAATCAAGTTATTTAAAAATGAAAGCAACTCATTTACATAACCTGAGATCAATACAGCCCATGTGGAGGCCAGTCCCAAGGAAAGAGGTAAAAGTGAGAACCACATGGGGCATCCAGTCTTCACAGATTATGCTGCCTTGCTCTTCACTTTCAAGGAGACCACCTGCATTTGGTCCTGCCTTCTACTGCTTCTGGAAATGAATGATGCTGAAGGGGATTTTGGGGACAGGAAGGAAGGGTGTGTCAACATGGCCAGCATGCTCACAGTGAGCAGAGATGACCTCCGAATCTCTGCAAGGCAAATTCCCGCTCTCTCAGTTTGTGAAATCTGCTTCTACAACGATGCTTAGCCATGTCAACCACTCTGCAAGAACACTGCAGTGCTCTGTCCTCAAATGCACCCATTTAAATCCTTATGGTTATGTGAGTGGGCACTGCCTTGCCCACCTTCACTCTAAAACAGCGGTTCTCAACCAGTGGGTAGCGACCCTTTTGGGGGTTGAACGACCCTTTCACAGGGGTCGCCTAAGACCATTGGAAAACACATATTGTTTTTGTGATTAATCACTATGCTTTAATTATGTTCAATTTGTAACAATGAAAATACATCCTGCATATCAGATATTTACATTACGATTCATAACAGTAGCAAAATTACAGTTATAAAGTAGCAACAAAAATAATTTTATGGTTGGAGGTCACCACAACATGAAGAACTGTATTAAAGGGTTGCAGCATTAGGAAGGTTGAGAACCACTGCTCTAAAACATGGTAAACTTAAAAAAGTGTTTTTATTGATTTCAGAGAGAAAGGGAGAGAAATATCAATGAGAGAAAATCATGGATCGGCTGTCTCTTGCACAGCCCCTACTGGGGATCAAGCCCCTCACATGTGTCCTGACTGGGAATTGAACTGTGATATCCTGGTTCATGGCTTGATATTCAACCTGAGCCATACTGGCCAGGATTAAACATGGTAAACTGACTTAAAAATGGCGCATAAAGAGGAAAGTGTGGCTGGAAGAATTGAGAAATGCCAGTGTGCCCAGGTGGGTTTCTGGAGAAAGGCAACAATGATGAAGAGCAATGATGAAGTTCCTTTATGTGCAATGTCAACCCAGGTAAACCAATAAGGCTGGAGCTTGGAAAAGATCAGTCAGCTGAGAATAGATGAGAGGATACAAGAACAGAGTTGTGGAGTGTGGGCTGTGGAGGTCTCTCCATCCAAGAGAGCATCCTGGACCCTGCCTTGTTGCGGGGCTGACAGGTAGTGCTTGTGCAGTCACTGCAGTGGGTGCCAGGGAAGGGTGCAGCTCTCTGTGGGCCTGCCAAGTCCCCTGCACCAGAAGTCAGGTGACTGCAGGCCTCCTGCCCACACGTGATAGAACCCCATCAGAAGGCACGCTGCCCCACCCCATCTGGCACTCAGATGTCAGGATCCAGTGTTTGTCCATGATTCCTGCATCTTGCCCTTAGCTACAGCATTTCAGACAGTGACAACTTCCACCTCCTTCCGTAGACTTTCTTCCTCCTCTCTCGCTGGTGGGTCTCTGGTCTTGCTTTCCCTCCCCCAAACCCCAAACCCTCCAACCATGGCCTTCAAAAGCTTCCTCCCAAATAATGAGACAAAACCAGCAAGTCAGCAAGTCTGTGGTCCATGTCCTGAGTGCATTTCCTACCGGCATGTGGGTGTAAGTGCAAAGAGAAACAGAGCTAGATATGAAGATGCAGAAACGGGCCAGCAGAGCCCAGGACAGAGTGTCCTATGGAGGTAACACTTGCAAACCGACCTTGAACAGAGAGACTGCCACAGAAGCAGTTATACCTCACACTGGGCTGGGCCCTGAAAAACTCCCAAGCGTGAGTTTCACCTTACTATCCCAGCTTCCTAAGTCCCCAGCGGAGGAGTTCAGAATGGAAAGCCTCAATTGCACTCCCCTCCCCCTCAACTGGCCCTGCCAATTGAAGGCCATGAAAAGCAAACATCTTCCTTAAAACAGCCAATGAGGCGGAGCTTGGATGCAAAGCCTCCCTTTCTCTGAAACCTACTCGAAAATCTTCCCACTGAACTTTACCAGGTCATCTCTCAGGGAAAGCATATAGGAAGATGACCCTCAGTGGGTTTTTGCTCATTTATGACTATGAAAGCACATTTCCCCCAAAGACTTGACTTTGTGCAAATTCCATTTGTGGCTGTTACTGGGATTTGGAATATAATGTCATTCTCTCTTCCTCTCCCATCATCTCAAAGGGATGGGAGCCCCCAGTCAGTGCCAGGCCCCTGGCAGCCACTGGTTAGGTGGGTGGAGTAGCTGGTAGGTGGCCAAGAAGGGGGGACCCTCCAGCACCTCCAGCCACTGGATCCACCTCCAGGTTCCCTTTGGCATTGGCTCTGGGCCCTCCAGAACACAGTCTTCATTGAAGACTCTGAGATTGGGGGAGCAATAATAGAATGTGAGACAGTTTAGATTTGCCACAAGGTTTAAATACTATACTAGAAAAGAAGCCCACACTACCGACTGCATTTCGAGATGTTTGTGTCTTGATTCAAAATGCTATGCCAGACAACAAGTACAGCCCATTTCACTTACTGTCTCATAGACTAAAATCTAAATGGATTTCAGCACCCAAAATGTGCTAACAGGGGACCATAATTCACTGTCATCTAGAAGAACTGACTAAAGGAATATCAGGCTGGTGTCCCTCCATTCATCCATTAGTGCCTCCTTTCACCCCCTCTCCACCCACCCACATCCCCACACATCTCTCTATTCATCTGCCAGACACTGTATTTCTACAGGTTCCCCTTCCCAAGCTCGGAAGGATCACCAGCTGCCAATTGCCCTGCAATGCCCCTCACCCCCACCAAGGAAGGCTCTTGGCACCCCAAGGATGGCTGTACAAAGCATCAAGGCCCTGAGGGAGAAATGAACTTGACTTGTTGAATGGACAGACAAGTGGCCACTGGGGAAAGAAAGAGAGTATGAGAAAGGGCATGGCAGGGAAGGCGGGGGGGAAAGGGAGGCACCCCCTGGAAGGTCAGTCAGGACTTTGTATATTATTCCAAGTGCAGGTAGAAAAGCCTGAGTGGTCTGGAGGGGGCAGTGGTAACCTGATTTCCATTTCCAAAACAGCTCACCAGCTGCTGGGGGAAGAAAGGACCACAGGGCCAGGCAGCTGTGAGGAGGCCATTGTGGGGCACAGGCTGCTGAAGACAAAGCCTGGCTGGAAACTGGGAGAGGAACACAGACCCCAGAGACTGTGGGAGCACTGCTCATGGGATACCGATGGAGGCGGGGAGGGGGCTTCTGCTTGTGCAGTGGTGGAGGAGAGTAGCTTACACCAGAGCCCAGAGGAGGGTGCAGAGGAACAGAGGTCACAGGGATCCCTCTTAACTGTGCCACCAGACAGGGAGAGCAGCAGACAGCAAGGGGGCAGCTCCATGAAAACCTTCCAAGAGTTGGCGAACTCCTGCATGACATGAGCTCAGTCACTGCCCTCCCTGAACCCACTCACCTGCAGAGAATGGTACTGCTCATGAGCAGTGGGCAGCCACTTGGAAGGTCAACACTTACAGGGAGAATCCCTGGCCAGAGGTTGCATATATGCAAGGCTCAGCTTCAGGCGGCCAAAGAGCCCTTCAGAGAAATTTTGCCAAATCCCTGGCTTTGCCAGAGGCACCCATGTAAGGCCTCCTCTTCCCTTTATTTAAATGCCTGCACATCAGGTGTGACCTCATCTGCTAGGTGATGGAATGAAACTTCCCAAGAGCTGATGTGCAGAGTTGGTTAGAAGGGACAGGGACAGAAAGACACTTCTCCATGTTATAGACTAACTACTTCTTTCCTTCCCTGAAATTCACATGCTGAAGCTCTGACCCCTGGGACCTCAGAATGTGACTATATTTGGAAATAGGTCTTTAAAGAGGAGATTAAAGTAAAATGAGGTCACTAGATTGGCCCTGATCCAATAGGACTGGGGTCTTACGAGAACACATTAGGACACAGACACATGCAGAGGGAAGAACAGATAAGGTCATGGAGAGGCAGCCATTGGTAAGTCACAAAGAGAGGCCACAGGAGGAATGAAACTTGTCGACATCTTGATATTCAACCACTGAACCATGAGAAAATAAATCTCTGCTGTTGATGCTGCCCAGTCTGTGCTCTTTGGTTAAGGCAGCCTCAGCAAACTGCTACAGCCAGCTATTGGGGTCCCCAAGTCAGTGGAGGAACATTTGCCGAAGTGGACTCTAGTTGGTCATGACAAATGAGCCCAGAGACCTGGTGCAAAACCCCAGAAAAACAGTGGGAGTAGATAGCTTATGATAGTAGGTAAGATGGGCTGCTCACAATGGGAAAGTTGAAGCGGACCAGTGCTGCTGGATTAGATTCAACTTTCCTCAAACACCATCTGTCTTCCCCATAACCAAGTCAAAAGTGTACTGTCCCTCTCACCTGCAAGATTCTGAAGCACCATGTAACTATTTGTTGTTGTTGTTAATCCTCACCCCAGGAGATTTTTCCATGGATTTTTAGAGAGTTCAAGGGATAGAGGGAGGGAGAGAGAGAGAGAAGGAGAAAAACATTGATGTGAGATAAACACATTGATTGATTGCCTCCTACATGCACCCTGACTGGGGCTGGGGACTGACCTGCAACCCAGTCATATGTCCTTGATCAGGAATCAAACTGGAAAGAAACCCTTCAGTTTGAAGGCTGGCTCTCTAACCACTGAGCAACACGGGCTAGGGTACATGTAACTTTTTACAAAAATTAGAATTCTGTATTACCACTTCCACAGTATGTACTGGTGTCTGTCCTTTCCTCCCACACTTTGAAGAACCTTTGTTGTATTGGTCTTCATAAGGAACACAGAGTCATCCTGGCCAAGTCGCTCAGTTGGCTAGAGCGTTGTCCCAATATGCCAAGATTGGGTTTGATCTCGGTCAAGGCACATACAAGAACCAACCAATGAATGCATAGATACATGGGGAAATAAATCAATCCCTCTGTCCCAAATCAATCACTAAAATAAAATTTAAAAGAACACAGAATCCTGAACCCCACAAAAATGGCCTCAGGTGGCATGAGCAAACAATGGTTCTTACCTTGCTGCGCTTCTGTCATCCCAACAAAGTACAACAAAAACCACTTTTCATTACCTCACGCTGCACATCAGATCTGCAATTTACACTTCATACAGACACGTTTATGTTACCTTGAACTTATGTGAAACACGTCTTCAAGTCTCCGCAGTATAGGCTTTGTGTTTGGTGAGACAGGCCTTTGCCTGAATTTCATTTCTTTTATTCTCAAATGCAATGTTTCCAGGGCACTCCCTCACGCCAACACTTCAGAAACTAAACTCTCTCTGAAAAAAGTTGGAAATGACGCCTCTACATTCCTAGCCTAGAATTTCACAAATGCTTGCCACTCCAACAGTACCCACAGTCCTGAAAATTGCTGGGTTTATAGCTTATCAAAGCACCTCCACAAGGTTTCTCCTTCTGTTAACATGAAGAACCTTCCTATATGGAAAACACAATAATACCACAATGGCATTAGAGGGCGTCACTGCCCTTGGGATGCTCTCCCAGCAGCATGTGGGGCCATGGGGGAGGGACACCCGAAACCGGGGACACTGGATCGCCTGCTTAACAGTCCCTTCAGGTTTGGCCAAATCCAGACGCCCGACCCAGGCATTCATACATCATAAAGAAACGCACCCCCAGAAGCCTTCTTAGTCACCTGTACCCAAAATTTGCCTACCTCGGGGTGAGAACCCTGTCCTCCTGTTTTCTGTGCTCGCCAGGGTCCTCCGCTTGTCTCTGTGGCTCGATGGATGCCTCCTGCCAAGGGCAGCACAGGGAGACAGAGTCATCTGGCTGCCTTATCCTAGACATCTTTTATTACCAATTCTCATTGTGGGTGTGCCCTGCGAGCCTGGACCACGAGGGCCTGGATGCAGCCTGTGGGCTGGTCCCCACACTGGCTATGGGCTGTGTTCGCACCAGGAACAGATCCATGTCCACCACAGTCCTGGCAGAAACAGAACTCTACATGAGGGCCATAAAGCTATGGGACACACTGGCCAAAAAACCCCCAACCTGGCTCATCCTCACTGGGGCGAAGCCTCAAGCCCAGTACGTGCCAGCCTGTGGGATTCTCGTCTTCCTCACTGAGAGAGCAGGGACTTGTAGAGGTCATGCTGTATGGGCTGCAGGCCAGGGCACCTTCAGGGCAGGAACAAATGCTCCTGGAGTCCCTGGGCCTTCCAGAACCCAGACTCTCCACACACATACCCTGAATGTTGTGCAATAATCCTTTTGCTAGAAAAACTGCACCTGGTGCTGTGGGAAATCTTTTGTTGAGCATATGCAGGTTTAAGAGGCAGTAAAAGCAGAGAGACAGAAATACTATTGATGTTAAAATATGGACATAGATATGCAGCTTGTTAGAAAGCTTGACATCAACTTTGACCATCAAAACTCTTACTTAAAAAAAGTGCAATAGTGTAATGATGCAGTGCTTTAAAAAATATTTTTTATTGATTTCAGAAAGAGGAATGGAGAGAAAGAGACAGCAATGTAAGAGACAAAAACAGATTGGCTGTCTCCTGTGTGCACCCCAAATGGGCATTGGACCCACAATCTGGGCATGTACCCTAACCAGGAATTGAACTAGCAAACTTTTGGTGCTCAACCAACTGAGCAACACTGTCCAGAGCTGCATGACTTTTTAATTACATTTGCCTAAGAACAGTCTTTAAAAATATTTGCAAAAAGAATACTAGAAAGGACAGACACGAAATATTAAGTGATTAAATGACATCCATGTTTGAAATCCCCTTCAGAGGACAACCTACAATTTTCTAGAGTTTCCCCAAATTCGTTGCTTGGAACTAAGCAGGGACAAGCTACTGAGGGAGAGGGAGACAGCTGCAGCAAGAGACGGGAGGAGAGGTGGTGGGGAACATGCCAGGAGTGGGTGAATTATGGCACCTTAAACCGCCATGAATGAGCCAATTTTGCCCCAGAACCCATTCATGCAAGTTGATGCTACACGAGCAGCATAAATGCTGCAATGAGTGGATGCAAGTCATGCTGACGCTGGCCCATTATTTTTGTGGGGTGCCCTATATGTCCCTAAGACAGTGGTCAAGCCTGGCTGGTGTGGCTCAGTGGTTGAGTGTCGACCTGTGAACCAGGAGGCCATGGTTTAATTCCTGGTCAGGGCACATACCCAGGTTTCAGGCTCAATCCCCAGTAGCGGGGGTACAGGAGGCAGCTGATCAATGATTCTCTCTCATCATGGATGTTTCTATCTCTCTTCCACTTCCTTCTTCTCTGCAATCCATAAAATCCTATATAGTAAAAGCATAGTATGCAAATTGTCCCCTCCACAGGGAATTTCTCGGGGAGTGTGACCAGGGAGTCGGGCCCCTGAGGGAAGGGAGGAAGTATCTGGTTGGCAACTGGCAGCCATTAGGAACCCTACCAGTACACACATTTCGTGCACTGGGCCTCTAGTAAATAAATAAACAAACAAACAAACAAATAAATAGACAGCGGTGGGGGCGACCATGAGCTTTCCCGAGTGTGCCGCTCACCTGTTTGTAGAGGTCTGTGGAGGGCGAAGACCGTGACCTCTCCTGAACATACTGCAGCCTCTCCTGTTGGTCCAAGCCCACGTCCAGGATGTCGTCAGCTGAGTGGTTTCTCCCAGAGCCCTTGGCTTCCAGGCCTTTGCCCTGTTTCCTCCAAGAGGCTTAATACTCTGCAAAGGTCCCGAGCCTCTGTGGCGGTTCTGATTTCCCCATCCTTCCTGCTTTCCTGGGACCACTGGCGTTATCTCCAAAATAGGTGGTGCGGACCCTGTCCTGGGGCTGAGGTTCGTCACCCTGGTCCCCGAGGCGCGCGGCCCGCAGCCTATCCGGCTTCTCCTTCGGGACCCCAGGGAGCACCTTCCTTGACCTGGACCTCTGCAGAACCAGCCTGCTGGTCTCCTCGAAGAACTTCCACCTATCGGTGAACGTCCCCACGGTGTCCTCGCAGTGCTGGCAGAGGCAGTGATTCCCTGAGTGCCCCACCTCATTCATCTCAGGCTCTGAGTACGACTTCAGTTTCTGCTCCACTGTGAACTGTTTCCGGCCCTCAATGCGGGCCACGTGAAATGGGCCCCCTCCGGATGAGGGTGGCCTGGCTAGGCCCACCCCTTAGGGGGTGGCATCGAGATCTGGGCGGTGGTCCCTGGCCCTGGGTTGTTCCCGGAACCCTGTATAATGGTCCGCTGGACTGGGGTCCAAGTCGCCCTGCTTAAATGACATGGACTTCAGGACACGGGCCTGGGTCTCCTTCAGGTGGTCCTTGTAGGTGTGCAGCAATGGAGCTCCTGGGGTGGGCGCCCCCCGCCAGCTGCCGGCCTCCCCACCAGCCTCAGCGGGCACCGCCAGTGTCATTGAGCTCTGGCTCTTCTGCAGCCAGGCGCGCCGCAGCCGGATCTCGTTTCGGAGGGTGGTGGAGAAGCGGTTGCTCCTCCGGTTGGCTTTGCCCACCTGGGCATCGAAGGGCGCTGGCCTCTCCCTGCCGCCCTCCAGGCCGCCCTCCTGCCGGGGCCCCTCCCGGGTCAGCGAGTGCAACAGGGGCGTCCTGTGGGCTGAGATCTGCCGCTCTCCCCGGCGACGACTCTCTGCACGCCGGCTCTGTCGCCATGGCGGGCTCTCTGTGGCTCCTCCGATCCTCTGTCCCCTGGGTCGCCCCGCTCCCCCTTGTGGGTGTCCAGGGACTCCTGGTGATGAGGGGGGTGACAGCGTGGCTTCTGGCCCGCTGCGTGTGTGGCAGGACAAGCATGGGCCCCCAGAGGGGAGCTGCAGCGCCAGCAGCCGTCCCCAGGCTGAGCTGTCTTTGCGCCTCCCTGGGGGCCCTGGCTGGAGGCCACGGAGTGGTGGTGGCTCTGCCCAGTGCTGTCCCCCTTCCGGTTGACAGCACTGGGCTGCCTGGCCGGGGTGGGGCTGGCGTCCTGGAAGCTGTGGGTGGGGGACTCCTGCAGGGCCCCAGCGAGGGTGCCACGCGGCTGCCCCCTGGACACCACAGCAGTCCTGAGGCCCTCGTGGAGGAAGGTACTCTTGTCGCTGCACTGGCTGGGGTGCTGGCACATGTCGGCAGACGGCGGGAAACGCACGTCGGTGCTGGACAGAGAGGCCTGTAGCTGGCTGGGGGTGCTAAGGTTGGACGGCCACCTGCAGTCCAGGGGGGCGGCCGCAGCACAGCCCGAACTCTCTGGCAGCCTCCACTCACCAGGGCGTGCCAGCTTCCGCTGCGGATCGGCGGGCTCTGCCCTCCAGTCACCCTGGGACTGAGCCCCCCTCAGGCCAGGAAAGTGCTGCGCAGTGGCCGCCTCGGGAAATGGAGGGCCCTGGGCCTTCTCCTGGCTCTTGGTGGCGGTGGCGGTGGCGGGGTGGAGCTGGGGGAGGAGGCGCCCTCTTCTTATCCTGGACGTGTCAGATGGGCCCCAAACTGGACCTCCCCGATGTGGACAGCTTGGGCTCAGACGTGTCCTCTGGCCCCGGGCTCCTGCTGCTGTCCCAGGGGCCCCCGGTGGGGAAGCACCCGGGTGTCTCCTCTAGGCCCTGGGGGTCCTGCCAGCCACCTGGCCGGGATGCCTCCCTCAGGTCCACTTTGTAGAGGATGTTGTCCGTGGAGGAGGCATCGGCCTTGGGCAGGGTGTGGTCAGGCGTGTTGGAGCTGGTGCAGAACGAGCTGTATGCCGAGTCCCGCTTGCTTGGGCCGCCCAGGTGGTTGATGCTCCCACTAGACTTGGCTGCCGAGAGGTGGCCGGAGGGGGAGGGTTGGTCCAGGCTGTCTACGCTGCCCAGAGAGCTAAAGTGGTCCGAGGTGCTCTGAAGGCTCGTCAGCTCCCACACGCTGGACAGGTCCTGGGAGGAGGAGCTGGGAAGCAAGAAGCATAGGAAGAGCTTGTGTTAGAATCGAGTCACTGCAAAGGGTCAGGGCCCACAGCACTGGGGACACAGCTGGCCTTGTGTAGGCATGGGCCAAGCGACAGTCACTCTTCCTGGGAAGGACTGAGTCCTATAGTGCTGCTAGTCCATCTCTCATCGCACACCCACAGGCCACAGCAATGCCATGTTGACACGCCCCCCGTCAATTAGTAGGTAGGCACAGTAGTTGACAAACTGAAGCCCATGACCCAAAAACCGTTGTAGTATTTGTTAATGGTTTTGGAGTGGGTGGGGATAGGATCAAATATTAATATTGCAGCTGACCAGTCTGGCTCCGCAGTTGAGCATGGAGCCAGGAACAAAGAGGTCTTGGTTCAATTCTCAGTCAGGTCACATGCCTGGAATGTAGGCTGGAATCCCAGTAGGTAGTGGGGCAGAAGGCAGCTGATCCATGATTCTCTCTCATCATTGATGTTTCCGTCTCTCTCTCCCTTCCACTCTGAAATCAAAAAATATATATATATTTTAAAAAGAAATATTACATGACCTATGAAATGACATGAAGTTCAAATCCCAGTGTTCACAGTCAATTGTTGACACAGTCTGTGGCTGCTTTCTAGCTAGACATGAGTGGCTGTAATAGCCCTGGACACAGAGTCTGAAATAAGTCCCCCTCTGCTGTCTACAGGACACACTGAGAAACTCCAATTGAAGCAGTCATCCTCTGATCTCCACAGGACATGCCGTGGGCTACTGATTAAAATAGTCACCCTCTGCCACTTCTGAAAAGCCATGAACCCCTTGTTTAAACAGTCATCCTCTGCCCTACACTGCACATATTCTGGAACCTTGATTAAAATAATCACCCTTTAACAAAACAAAACAAAATACAATGTCCTAGCTGGTCTGGCTCAGTGGGTAGAGCATTGGCCCAGGTTCCATTCTGGTCAAGGGCACGTACCTTGGTTGCAGGCTCAATCCCTGGCCTTGATCCAGAAGTAACCAATTGATGTGTTTTTCTCACATCAATATTTCTTTTTCTCTCTCTCTCTCTCTGAAAAATCAAAGGAAAAAATATCCTCCATTGAGGATTAACAAAAAAAAATTTTTTTAAAGTAGTAATAGCATAGTGTCAATTTGCAGCCCATGGGACACCATGGTAGATGAGATGACGCAGGTGATAGGCTTTATCCATACCACCAACTGCTGCTGTGTTCAGGTACCTGATCAAACCATGCAGGGCTCACTGGAACTGCACATGAGTGGCCAGAATACAGGTCTGAACGAGCATAGGGTCTAAGAGCAGGAAGTGAAACATTAGGTGTGTTACACGCAGGGAGCTACATAGTCAACTCAGGAATCAATTCTCCTGTGAGGACTAACAGCATGGGCCTGGCCACTCTCCACGGGGGAACTGTCCACACATGTTAAACACTCTCAGGAAAGCCAACATTAAAACAAATAAAAACAAACACCTGTGGCTGCTTTAGGTTTTGGGAGAACCAGAATGAGAAAAGAACCAGCGTGAGCAGCAAAAGGAGATACAGTGAATGGTTAAGTCACCTGGGGGGAGGGAGGTTGGCATCATCTACCCTTTCCTCGAGGACACCAGGTAGCCTCTCAGAAATGGAGCCCGTTCCTGCTTACCTTCCTGCCAGCACTCCTGAAGTGACTTTCCCATAAGAATCTAAGTACCAGGTGATGTCAATAACATGGAAGAATTATTCCCACGCAGATGTAGGCAGCATGCCTGTTTCTTTCATCAAGAAACCACCACATGGGCCTCATGGAGTGCTTATTACAGCCAGTCAGCTCAATAATAACATAAAAGGCCCACTTGTCAGCTGTGTGGTAAGACTTCTGTGAAAACCTGTGTTTTTTTTTAAAAAAAATACTCTGGGCTCCCATTACCAGCATCTCTTCTCACTGTAAAGAGCTAGAGAGCTAACAGACATTGGACACATATTGCCTTCACTTCATATGGGGACTTTGCAATTTCACAGCAGACCAGTACTATTTTTATTTACATGTCTTTTTTGCTCACTAATATAGGGGAGAGATAGTGTATTCATTTCTAGGTTCCTCCACAGTACTTAACAGAGTACTTCTGATAGGATGCACTAGGTGACTGTTGAAGCAAGAGGAAAGATTTAGAGCATACATTTGTTTTTCATAACTTTCAGAAGTCCGATTACAGATCATTTTATTCCCTCCAATGGATTCGTGTTACACTGATTTTCAGTCACTTAAGAACATGGTGTCTAGAAATCTTATTATAGAGTGTTTAAATTATGCTAATTCATGATATGGGACTGTCAGGCTTTTATTTGTTTCTTTGCTCTTTTTTTTTTTTGCTCCAGCTTGACTTTAACTGTTCATTAACCCATTGTGTCCAGTAAAGCATTTTACTGTTGCACTTCTACAATAATATTTGACTCAACAATAACATTAAAAATATCTTAAGTGGATATTTTGACTTTCATGCATTCATTATCATATTTTTATTTGGAATAAATAATGGGCAACCTGTGAATATTAACAGTTGTTACTTTTGAAATTTAATTGCACATGTTTAGAATGTGGGATGAAAATCAGTGGTGTATAACTCAGCTCTGTGCCTTGTTTTAGGATATGGCATGCTTACAGATAAAGAACGACATGTTGCCAATGAAACAAAATAATTTGGATGTGAATTGGCCCAATTGCACTAAAAGCTCATGAATGATGCTGTAAGTAGTGTACACCTAATAATAAGAATTAAGGAGGGAAGTCATCATTGGGGTATTTTGCTTGTCAAAATGTATATAACAATCGCTCAAATAATATTTCCTTTTCTGAAATTGTAAATGCAAGATCTGGACAATATTGAAAAATATCATAACTTCCTACTATTTTGGGGACTCTGAAGAAAGAACTTGAACTTAAGTTACATGATACAAATATAACATTAGCTATATTACAATGTTTTAAAATTTTCTAGTTGAAATCAGCACATGTTGTTTGCCATCAGCTTGTTTGTTAAGTACAAGAATCCTTGTCTGTTAAGCACCAAATGAATCCTACACAGTTATGTGGGTAGCAGCAGTTCCACAGTTAGATGTATGAAGCTTTCAACACTTCATAGCAATGGAGGTTTTTGTCCCTAACACTGTCAATTAACCTTCAGCAGTAAGTCGACATAATGTTAGGTATTGGCCCCAGCAAATCTGTATCAATACCCTAAGACAGAAAAAGGGAATATGGAATATTGATGTTGCATTGTTCTTATTTAAGCAAAAATAAAAATAAAGCATATAACATGTTTTCTTTTTTAAAAAAATGTAAAATATTTAATCTTTAATTAGTAGCAAAGATATAAGTGAATGATTAATGTTATAACCAGAACCATTGAGTCTTCTTCAGAAAATAAAATTTTTATGTGCAGGAATAGATTCAAAAGGCAATAAACACATGTTATGCTGACAAATGTATAATTATCTTTTATTACAAAACTAGAGGCCCGTTGCAGGAAGATTCCTGCAAGAATAGGGCTTCCAGCGACTGGAGCGAAGCAGAAAAGGGAGCGAAACCCAGTGAGGTGGGCTTCACTCCCACTCCCAGCCTCTGCGGCTGGGTTTCCCCTCCCGCCCCCAGCCTCCCGGCTGGGTTTTGCCTCCCGCCTCCACAGCCTTGTCTCCGTTCCTGTCTCCGCTGCCTCTACTTTGCTCCCTTCTGTAGTGATTCGCTTCCACGTTGTCTTCAGTCTTCGCTCCCAGCTGGTATATGCAAATTAACTGCCATCTTGGTTGGGTTAATTTGCATATAGCCACTCTGATTGGCTGATGGGCATGGCTTAAAGCATAGCAAAAGTTTGGTCAATTTGCATGTTTGTCTTTTATTAGTGTAGATATCAATTCTCCTAAAGCCTTTTTAATAAATTATGCTATTTATGTAAACCCTAATTAATATAAACTTTTTTGAGATCTAGATTAGTTTTAAAAGCATAGAGGAGTAATTTTCCATCATTTCATACAATTCCTTTATGTTGAAATTAATCCCAGTGTAAAAGTTTCAGAAAGGCCCCAGGCTAGGGCAACATGCACAGTGTACTAAAAGGTGGTAGTGCCAGTGCTAATTGACATTTCTATAGGATGTCATCCTTCCCAATGCATTTTCTCACACAGAATCTCACAGAATTAAAAATAAATTCACCAGATTATCTACCTCAAGGGATTCAATTTTTCTTCTTTTTCACAATTAATACACATCATTTTCCTAAATCTTTTCACTGCACAGAGTTATCGTGTTTCTTACCCATTCACCAACATGCACCCACACCAGCTTTTGAGCATCTGCAACTCAATCACTTGACAGGTGGTTGCAAAGAACCAGTTGGCAAGCATGGACAGAGTACTGTGCTTTGATTCCACTTAATTTCTACTTGTGGGTCTTTAATTCAAAGTTGCTTTGCATACATTTAACCAGAGTTCAAGGTAAAAGTACAGCCACATGGACAACTTTCTGGACAAGAAAGGGAAATAGTCTCTTTACTTTTTGTGTTAAAATTTTACAGTGTATGTGTGTTTGTTTGTTTTTTACAATTTTGATCTTATATTCCTCAAGGGAGAATGACTCAAAAGCCCAATTCTTGTCCTAGCTGGTTAGGCTCAGTGGATAGAGCATCAGCCTGGAGACTGAAGGGTCCCGGGTTTGATTCCAGTCAAGGGCACATGCCTGGGTTGTAGGCTTGATCCTCAATATAGGGCATGCAGGAGGCAGCTGATCAAAGATACTCTCTCAGCATTGATGTTTCTATCTCTCCTTCTCCCTCTCCCTTCCTCTCTGAAATCAAAGATATATTTTTAAAAGTTTCTTTAAGAAAAGCCCAATTCGTTCTTGGACCATACCATTTTAGTATCTTTTTGCTTTGTTGAAATTCATACTGATCCAGTAAAAGACTATCTTGCTATGCTAATCATACGTTCTAATCTGGTTTCAAGAAAAATTAAA